ACTTTGTCAGAATGCATTGATCAACAGTTTGCCACATAAATAGTATGCACAAAATTTATTCAAGTTTCCTTCACGTAAATCATGCATAGCGGAAAAAACAAAGAAGAAACTCAGATCAGACCATGAGGTTCAATGTTCAATAATTTTATTATTACAGAGAATTATTCCTCCTAATACATTTAAATTAAACCACATGCATCAAATTAAATTCTTAGAATCAAAGAGGAAAAGTCACTCAAACCATGAGATCTGGCATTACAACTAACAAATAATTCATAACAAAAGTTTTTCCCAAGGATAACAAAAATTTGACCATTTTGAAAGTGGTGCAAACATGGACAAAATACATCTGTTTACTACTAACCAATGAATTATTCCAATATTTATTTAGTTGATCTTGAAACTTGATATCGGTTAAAACATCACACATGTGATAAACATTCCACATTAAGAATTCTAGAGTTTTCTTAATTTTTAGAATCATAGAGTAAATACAAGCTATTTTTGTTGATTTCTTCAGCTGCTGAGTTTTTTTTAAAAAAGTTTCAAAGTAGTCATAAATGAGTTTTGCACTACAGGCATATCCTGAAGCTACAGTGCAAATGTGCGCAAGTTGGGAAGTTCGCAAACATCACTGCCAAAAATAAACTTTTTGTAATGCAGTATTTTATAGAATACCAGAGACACAAAGTCTACCGAATTTCTGTAATCTCGCCTTACAACCTTGAAAAACATGCACAATTGTTTTGTTTTTTCGACATAAACAACAAGCTTATAAATAAGGAAAGCATTCGTGCTCGAATTTTCTGCCCGTAACCCGGTAACAACTCGTGACTGTCTGCTAGCGTCGATTGTCTTAGTCACCGTACTTTTATTCACGCAACATGTAAGCGGTTGTATACACAATGTCTGTCTCACATCTTAATATTGAAAGCAAGTAGTAAAAGCATTCTTTAAGAAAGAATTAAGGGATTCGCCCGCCTTGAGTGCAAAACAAAACTGAAACCTGCTACAGACAGCTGATTTCGAATGACAACCACATGAATGTCAAACCCTACTTTACAGTCGCAAGCTGATCACGAAATTTACATCCTCAAATACGAAGAACACTATTTCCCTTCTCTAAGTTTTAGGGGTAAATGCCTCTAAAGGTCTCTATCAATACAAAATTATATGTAAGACTTTTCTAAAAAACTAATCTATGAAGCCACAGCACAAGTAAATAGAGGCTACTAATCTAAGCTTGATCTCTTTTATACGCCATTGTCATCGGGCACTGTGTAGCGAGGGTGTACTAATTTCACTGTTCAATGTCATGTCAAACACTACTTTTGGGCTCGGAATTGAAACAAATGTTTAGAAATGTTGTAGTAAACTTTAGGATACTCTAAAATGTAGATGACATACCTGTTTATGCTCAAGGTCTGGAGAAATGCACGCACAACAGTGAAACACACCTTATCACAATATGCAGAAGTTTGTGAAACGCCTATAAATAGGAATCGGCCTAGGCCTGGACCGACGTTTTTCATTGGTTCTGTTGTC